ATCAATCGTCAAGAGGCCAAAGGGGAGAGTTGTTAGAAATATATATCTATCGAATGTTTGTTCAGTATAGCTTTAAATGAGATGGTAGTTTGCAGGAATGTTAGGTTACATAGATTGCTGGCTCGTTCCTGCCGTGAAGCAAGGGAGGGGAGCGCGGGACGAACAGCAAGAGCCAGACGGCCATTATCAAGCTCTGAGGTGCGAGCAAGGTCAGATGAGACGGCCAGGAGGTTGGCGAAAGGGCGCAAAAGGGATCAAGCGGGAAACCAGCAGGACGGGCGGTTAAGAGGGAAGCCTCTGGCCATGCGGAGGTCAGTTCCAGCAGTTTAGGGAGCGCTGTGTGCGTGTCTCCATACAGAGATCGTGACTGGAACAAACCGGTCTCCAGGGGATTTACTGGGATCGGGACGGAGCTTTGCAGACTCCGACAGCGCCCGAGGCGACCGGGGAGGGAGCCTCGGTCTCCAGGTCCCAGTTCCCGTGCTATAGGGCAGAGCCACGGGGGGCAGGACTGTTCGGGCTCCACGCCCCCCACGGCCATGCCTCGCCACCGCCCCCTCTGGCCCCGGTGGCAGCAACTCAGTCTCCGGTCGTTTGAAGATGGGGGCGAACGAAGGGGGCTCCTGTTCGGGAGGGCAGGAGGAGACATGTGAGGACGGGGCTGAAAGGGGGTGCCGGAGGGGGGGCTGTGGGAATGGGATAAAACGGCAGGCAAAGTTTGGGGCTTGTTTCGAGGTGCGAGAAGGTGAATTCCCGGAGCCCTGCTCGGAGCGGCCACTCGATGGCACCACCGTCCACACCTTGGCAGCCCAAGCAGAGCGCAGGGTTTCTCAACCTCACCTCCTTTAAGGCGGGTGGACTACAACTCCCAGAATCCCCCAGCCAGCATGGGGGAAGTCCACCCACCTTAACGGAGATGAGCTTGAGACACGCTGCTTTGGAAATGGCTCCCGTTTGGATCCCACCCAGGGGCTGCGTCCACCCTGCTTAGATTTGGCCTGCCTGACTTCTGGGGGTGGCTTCGGGGGCTGCGCGGACCCTGCCCGTAATTCTACGCCGTGCACAAACCCTGCCCGCTGGAACCGACCAGGAAGCGGTTCGCTCAGCAGCCCGGCGGGCAGATCCGGCTGGGGACAGCCATGTCTGCGCGCGCCATCGCAGCCTCTGGACGTCCAGCTTACGAGTCCAGCCTGCCTCGGCCAACTCACCGCACTGGACGTCCCCCCGGGCTGAGCTGGGGCTGTGGGTGGTGGTCCGGGGGGGGCACCCCGGGGCCTCTAGCCGGTCGTAGCAGCAGTCGTGCCCCCGGCAGCACCTGGGGCGCAAGCAGAGGGGGTGACCCCCGGGCGTCTCTTTCGGCCGCTGCCGTTCCGCGCTTCGCAGCGAGCAGCCACGGGGGGAGTCCAGAGCATTCTGGGAAAGGGCTGAAATCCCCCGGGAAGGCCGGAGTTCAGCGCAGCCCGGCGGAAGTCCGACGCCTGGCCCAGGGAATTCTGGGAGTCGAGTCCCCGCACATCTGGAGGCCCGCAGCTTGACAGGGAGCCGGACAGGCGTTTTGGGGACGGATCTCGGGTTCCGGGAGGCGGCGAGGTGCGTCCCGTCACGGCGCCAGCAAGAGTTCACGCACGTACCTGTCGGTTGCGTCCTTGGGCCTCCCTTTGCCCCCTACTCCGCAGTAACACCCGTAGGAGGAATAAGACGGGACGGCTTTCTTCCCGGTCACGTCAGTGATCATGCCCTGAAGTTGCAGCGAGTTTCCACGGATCACGGTCACTCTGGAAAACGGCGGGGCAGCTGCGTGAAATCTCGGGGGTCGCGAACGTCCGAGTTCAAGCACCCAAAAGTGGGTCTTGCGGGTTCCTCGGGCCCGGTCTTACGGCTCAGCAAGGTGTGCGAGCCCGGATTCCGTGGCTTAGTCTTAGTCTTTAAACCGTGGCTGTGTTGAAACTGAGTTTATCGCTCATGTCCTATACGTCGTATAAGGAGCCGAGGACCGACGTCGTGCCAAGCGAATGCACGGAGGGATCGCTCCCTATCTCCGGACCCTTCGGACTACAAGTCCAGGAATTCCCGCCCACACTGCCCGGGCCTTGGGAGTGGCAGTCCCAAAGCTCTGGGGCGGGGAGGGCGGGGGCGCTTCGGGGCCGGCTGCGTCTGTGGCACTGCAGCCCCTGTCCGTGGTCCTGAATGTTAACGCCCGTCCCGAGGCCCACCCCGAGGCCCACCCCAGCCACGGCGCGTGGTTTGTAAGTCAGGCTTAGGGTGTTATGCAGTCCAGCCACAAACCCCGGTTCACGCTCTAACGGGCCATACGAATCTTGCCGGCCACGGCTTAACCCGCAAACCATAGTTAAAATCAACGGTGGCCCGGATGGGCAAATTCCATTGGATGCCTGCAAGATCCGTCTTCTGACGGGGCCCTACTGAGCCATCAAATCGTAGAACTGGGGGGGGGGGGGTGGAAAGGGGGCACAGGGGCCGTCTAGGCCAGCCCTCGGCAGGGTGCAGGAAAGGCAGCGCAACCCTGTGTGCGAGGGCCGTCCGGCTCTTCTCCAGACCTCCAGAGAGGGAGAACCCGCCACCCCGTAGGGAGACTCTCCCGCTGCTGGACTCACCTCGCCCTCAAGAATTGCTCCTGGTATTTAAGCCAACCCTCGGTAGCTGCCATTTGCACCCCTTGTTTCTGCCCCTCGGGTCTCTGGCGGTGAAAAAAGCGCTCTTGACCCTCTTCCCTGGAGCTTCCCTTTATGTCCTTGAACGGGGCCCTCGTGTCTCCCCTAAATCTTCTTTTCTCCAGACTGACCATCCCAGGCTCCTCCAGCCTGTCCTCACAGGCCATGTCCTCAGAGTCCCGTGTCTCCTTTGCGGTCCCCCCCCCGAGCCCCCTCTAAGCTGGGCGTCTCTTCTGGGGCTGGATCCCTGCTCTTCCTCGCAGCCACATGATCTCCTGTCTCCAGCACCTGCGAGGCTTCGCTTCGAACGGCCAGGCAGAGAACCAGACTGCCAACATCTCCCAGGTGCCTAAACCCTGGAAGCCAGCATTAGACGGGGTTTGGGGCAAGACGGGCATTCCTCCTTCCCTTTCTGGAAACATCACTTGCGAATTGTTAATGAGCCACCTTAGGGGGGCTCTGGGGCTGCCCGGAAGGGCACTGCCTGAAGCCTGCTGGAAGATAAAGCCGAGAGCCACCCCCCAAGGGTTTGAACGGGGCAGCTGCGGGGCAGCAAAGAAAAACATCTCTTTTGCCCTTACCACAAATAAACAGGAACAGCAGCAGGGTGCAGGGAGTCATCTTCAGCATTCAGAGCCTGGGAAAGGAATTCAAGAGAGGCGAATTTGCGTCGCTCAGGGCTGAGCTGTGGAGTCCCTGGAGTCCCCTGAGCCTGGCTGTTTCCTTGCGAACGTTTCATTACCCGGCTAGGTAACATCTTCAGTTTCAGGGAAAGGTTTGCAAGGAAGCAGCCGGGCTCAGAGGACTTCAAGCCCCAGATTGCGTTTTGCAACGGGGGGAAGATTCTCGCAGCCCCACCTGCTTCCCAGAAGATGCCCTGCCGGGCCTGAGAGACGGGGCCGCAAAAGGACATTTTCTTCGCTCCTTCCCTTTATTTTCTAAGACTCTCCTCCAGGTTGGAGTGTTGAGCCCCAAATCAGGTTTGGGTTGCTGCAAAGCTTCATACTGGAAACGTCCTCAGGAATTGTTCCTCCCGGCTTTTCCTTTTCTACGGGCGAGGCGCGAGCGCATCTGCTAGCACTTTGCTTGAGACAACAACGATCCATGGACCCCCCCAAACCACATCCCATAATAAATCTGAGCCAAGGACCCTCGGCTTCTTTTTTCCAGCACGTGTGAGGCCAGAAGAGACAGGAGAAGCCTCGTTCTGCGCACAGACAGAAACCTTGCACTTTACACATTTGCTCGGTGCGTTTAATTCAGGCCAGCCTCACCGGAGGAGGACGATCGGGAGGCGCTTCTGGGAAGCAGCCACGGGGTGCTGGGGTCCCTCCCTGCCTCCGTCCCCAGCCTCACCTCTCCCTGCCGTGCCACAGAAAGGGCCCCCGGCGGCAGAAGGCCAGCGGGTCTCCCTGGACGGGTTTATAGGGGACTCCGGAGGCGTCCCCACCCCTTCGGGGATCCAGAAACCCAAGTTCTGCTTGTCTGGCGTTCCCGGCATCGTGATTTCGGTTTCAGTCTCTGGGTGCCTCTTTGAAACCCCAACAGGAAGCAGCAGGGGGAACTCTTGCCCTGAGGAGCGTGGGCATTTCCCCGCAGAGTTTCAGCCGGAGGGGGCTGCATTTCCACTAAGCTGAGAAGGCCTCTGGAGGTGACTAAAGGAGAATTGCGCAACACGTTTGCTGGCAAGGAAGCCCCAGGGCGTTGCCCACGGTCTCCATTCGTCAGCTTGGCTCCGCTTCACAAGAACCCTGCGAGGTCGGTGAGCCTCCCCCCTCCCCCCCCATCCGTTCTCTCCAAGGCCATCATCATCTCTTCCACGCTGGCCGTTTCCTCTGGAGCAGGGCCAGGAGAACCCCTCCAAGGAACGCTGGCCGTTGAGGTCTCCCCTTCCCCTTCTTTCTCCCCACAAGTGTTCCAAGGCTCCGCGCGTCACAATCCCGTGGCCTTCCGGAAGGAACCTGGAGCGGTTCCGTCCAGCGGTGGAGAATTGCTCAGCCTCCCTCCCGGGCAACCCACCCTGCGCCTTCGGGCCTTGCTGGGGTCTCCGATGGGGCTCTGCGCAGCAGAGGAGACAGCTGGGAGATGACCACCGAGGACCGGCCCCCGCCTTTCCCGGGACAAGGCACTTTCCAATGCATGGGGGGGCAGCTGCAGGATCCCTGCAAGAGTTTCTTTCCCCGTCTTGCTGCTCCAGCGGACTCCGGTCCTGGAGAAACCACTGGGGCACCTCTCCTTCTCGTGGGGAAATGGGGGGCCATGCTCCCCCAATTCCTCTGGTGGAGGACCGGGATGAGGATTTCGAAGGGCTGCCAGCGTCCGGCTTTCCGCCCTCCTTGACCGCCAGACCTTCCCCTTCTGCTCCCCAGGGCTCCCGGAGATGAGGCTGTCTCACGTGGCCGTGGTCCTGGGGGCGAGCGGTAAGCACTGACCGGTTCTGGGGTCTCCCTTCCTCCCTGACACCTCCTGCTGAAAAGAAGGAGGAGGAGGATCTGCTTTTCTTTGGCCCATCCAGGCCTTTTCTTTCATTCTTGAACTTTTGCCCTTTCACTTCCTTCTCCGTGGCTGAATTCACCTGTTTTCTGGATTTGGCCAGAGCAGCGTTTCTCAGCCTTGGGACCTTGAAGATGGGCGGATTTCAACTCCCAGAATTCCCCGTGCTGGCTGGGGAGTTCTGGGAGTTGAAGCCGGCCCATCTTCAGGTTCCCAAGGTTGAGAAACACCGGTCCAGATGGGCGGAGCGCCAAAGCCTCAACCAAGGGAGCCCCATCCAGGCCTCCTTAGCCAACTCGGAAGCCGGAGGGGCGCGGGTGCAAAAGACCCCCTCTTGAGGTTGGGTGTGGGATGGGGCTGCTCCTCCCGTCGTCCTCCTGAGCTGGGCCATGCGAGCGGCTCCTTCCGTCCCTTCCCTTTCCAGCGCTTGCCTTCACCGCCGGCAGCCTCCTGAATTTTAAGCTCATGATCCAGAGGGTGACGCAGAAAAACGCCCTCATCCACTTCAACGGCTACGGGTGCTTCTGCGGCAAGGGGGGCCGAGGGAAGCCGAGGGACAACACGGACATGTGAGTGTGGCTTCCTAGCACAGCCCCCCACGGCCACCAAGTGCCCCGGCTTCTCCTGAGCCTGGTTTCCAGATAATGCACCCCGTGAACCCCTCTAAAACCTGCCCCAATCTGTCTCCCCGGTGTCTCCGGAGAAAGGGCTTCTGTTTTTCTGCCTCTTTCGCCCACAGGAGACCTTTTGACTCAGTTTCCTTCATTGTCAGCAGGAGACCAAAAGTGCCACCCGGGGGGGGTTCCCGCCCCTTCCTCATTCTGCAGCCTCCCTGGCGCCCAGAGAGGTGGGCAGAGTCCTTCCCCACGCATCGCTTTCTCGGCAACATTGGCAGACGCTCGCCTGTTTCTCAAGGCAAGCGTGCGAATCCCTCACGGTTTCCGTGAGGATTCTCCTGCTCGGCCATCGCGTTGCTTTTCATGGTCTTGAGAGAAACGGGCTAGAAAAGTGCCAGGGTGATTTGGGAGGCTAAAATTCACGGGGACGGTTTTCACCGCCCAGGGAGGGAGTTTCTTTCTAAAGAATTAAAATGCAATTAAAATACAATAAAAACCGCATTCCTACCTAAATAATACTATCTTCCAAGGCACTGCTGGTAATAAGGGTATTAACCTACAGGAGCGTCTTCAGTAACGCCTTCCGGGTTTAAAAGGTTCCCATGCAATTCCCGCAGGGAAGGAAGAGGGCTTTGAAGGCGTTTCCATGCAGGGAGAGAAGAGAACTATTCCTGCTTTTTTCTTCTTCTTCTCTCCAACTCTGACTTTTGCCCCAAGGTGTTGCTATAAGCACGACTGCTGCTACGAAGGCTTGCACCGGCAAGGTTGCCACCCGTTCATCGAGCACTACAGATACCTGATCATCAACAACAACGTGCTCTGCAGTGAGTTTGGGGGGGGGTTCCCAGGTCGCCGCATTCGCACGGGGCCAGACAGATCTGAGGGGAAGGGTCTGAGGCGGGTCGCGCTCGCCTTGGGCTCAGGGGTGCCCAGACACTCTCTTCTCTGGCCCGCAGAGTACAGGAACAGGTCGGCCTGTGCCACCCTGGCATGTGAGTGTGACAAGCACGCCAGCCTGTGCTTCCGAAGGGAAGCTGCGACCTACAGCCACAAGCTCCGCCATTACCCCGCCGTTTTGTGCAAAGAGCCGACCCGCAAATGTTTTCCTCGCCCCCTGTTCTGAGCGGGGCTTGATCCACGGCTGCCATGAGCGGCGTTCAGACTGGCCAACGTGCCACCCCCCGAGAGCCTTGACATTTGGGGGTGGTAGATAGAGGCCTGTGTTTCGGTTTCTCCAGGCCTCCGTCCAGGATTGGAAGCCGGTGTGTTGTGTGCGCGTGTATAATAAACTATTATTTATCTTTTGCGTTGCTCTCTGTTTGTCTTTCGGTTAAAGCGTGGGAAGCAGGTATGATCAGGGATCCTTCTGCCCTAAGCGCGTGATGGGTGGGAGGAGAGAAAAGCTGCTTATTCAAATGCCCCCCCCCGGACTGCCATCATTCGAGAAGAAGCTGGGAATGAGCAATGCGGTGGTTGTGGGGCCCAAATCTACATCCCTACGGCCTTCTCAGAAGAATAGAGAGGAGGAGGAGGAGGAGGAGGAGGAGGAGGAGGAG